CAGCGAGGCGGCGGGAAGGGAGAAGAGAGGGATCTGCAGGGAGAGCACAAAGGGCTGGAGGTGGAAAAGACCAGCGAGGGGTATGAAGCCAACTCCGCTCTCCCTAAACTGTGGGGTTGTCAATTTCCCCCCACGTCTGGATGCCACTGAATGTGGCTCCGAGTCTGCTCTGCACTGCCAAGACAATGGGAAACTGAGGCACAAGGAGGTTAAGTGACTTGCTGAGGATCACCAAACAAGTCAGTGGCGGTGGCAGGCAACGCTCCTCATTGGCACATGCGCACGAACAGACGTCTTGGGCTGCAAATGAGCCCGGCTTTCTCTGATGCAGCTGAACTGAAACCCGCTCTCCAGGCGCTAAGGCCTGCTGAGTTCAGAGGGGAAGTTTCACAGTGTGGACACGCGGTCACCGTACCAGTCAGAAGTTCACAGCTCCCTTTGGCCACTGCCAACTCAGCCTGGACTGAAACTGGCGAGCTGGAGGCTCATGACTAAGCCCTCACCCCCTGGTCAACCTTCCACTCTGGGGGGGATCTAAGGATTCCCCTTCCATGAGCCCACGGCTGCTGCTGTACAGACATGAGAGCCCTAAGGATCCACTAGGAGCAGGGTTGCCTGTAAGCTGAGGGCTTGGGTGGCCACCCAGGAGAGATTCAAATGCCGCCCACAGCCAGCAGTGTGGGTTTCTACTGGTGGTGCACATCTGCATGAGACAAAATTTATTCTGCACACGGTTGGAAAAAATGAGAGGAAACTGGTTCTGTGACTGAAAAAATCACGTCCTTGTCCTTCCAGTTCCAGGGGCTGGAGTTTCGTCCGAGCACCCCCCGAGGAATCTGCAGGGCTAATACTTCCCAGGCTGCACCCACCCGCCCTGTGCCTGGCTCTCAGCACCCCCCGTCCAGAGGTTACACATCTGGGATGAAATGCCAGTGAAAGGCAGCTGCGGAGGGACACGTGTGGCTAAAACGGGAAATATTTGCAGAGGGAATCTTGTGGCCCGCAGGGACGGGGCCTGGCTGCAGGCGTGTGCTCAGGCACGTAGCACACACACACAGACGTGCACAGAGCGAGCTGTGAGTGCCACCCTAGCACGCGCAGGCAGGCCCACAGACCCATGTGAGCACGGCCAGACGACGCTTTGCCCCTCGGTACCCCATTCTGCTAACCGCCAGCAAATCTCCCAGGCCCCCCTCATAGGCTCCCATTGTGTGCCCTCCCCTCCCCCCCAGACACCACCCTTTCCCCAGGCACACGTGTCTCCAGGGGAGAGCTGGTTACACGCAGGAGCCTCAGCCTGCCAGCCACCACAGACCCATGTGAGCACGGCCAGACGACGCTTTGCCCCTCGGTACCCCATTCTGCTAACCGCCAGCAAATCTCCCAGGCCCCCCTCATAGGCTCCCATTGTGTGCCCTCCCCTCCCCCCCAGACACCACCCTTTCCCCAGGCACACGTGTCTCCAGGGGAGAGCTGGTTACACGCAGGAGCCTCAGCCTGCCAGCCAACCAGCGCTGCGGTTTAAAAGAACAGAGCTGGGGGCCAGCGAGAGCCGGTGTCATTCCGGGGGCTCCCCAGGGGTGCAGCCGACCCGGGATGCAGAGGAACCTTTGCCGTATTTCGGGTTTGTTTCAAACCCAACCGGACTTCTGCTTGCCTCTGACGCTCCCGCCCGCAGCCTGATTCTCCACAGCCACGCGCCCCCCCAAGCCCAACGGTCTTGTCGGG